TGGTCCATTCAGCCCTAAGGCCAGGCGCTGGGTGAATCTTTCACAGGGGTGTTAGGGTGTTATTGTGCCCAAGTTGATAAGAACTGGGATGAAGAGAAAACCTATAATCAGGGGTTTGCAGCCTTCATGAAATAAAGGAATGTAACCAGGAAGTCAACAGATGACAGAAACAAACAGACATCAGCTCCAAGCATTTCTCTTCCAAGTTTACCACAACCCCCTGCACATTCATGAAAAAAGAACTGCATTTCAAAATATTATGATACTTCCACTTTAAGCCTAAACTCAGTTAAGGCTACTCAATAACAGGTGAAATACCATTCTGACAATCAAATGAATGGGACACTATTAAAATTTAAAGAGCCACGTTTTGTGTATGAAAATATTTGACTCTTAATTCAATCTGGACATGGGGTAAAGGTTATCAAAGTATACAAGCACATGAGGATAAGTAATCACTTGACCAAAAATTCAGATTCTCTTAAATAAAATCCTTTACATAAAATATTTTACAAACATATTTTTCATAAAATAAGGCATACTGATGTGAGGTTATTTGGCTTGTCATACCCATCAGTCCAAGAACAAATATATTTTGCAAAATTTTTCCAGACAATTTACCACTTCTTTGGTGACTTTCAGTTTCCTAATGGCTCAGCAGGAAAACTACCAGGCTACTCAACAGTGAAATTCTTGAGCAGGTGCAATCAAAACCTCTTCCAGAGGCAAATCAGGTTTTCTGCCTAAGTAGATGTATTTTCTGCAGGTGATGGTGTAGTGAGTGAATGTTTCTCTAATTGTAAAGAAACCTGTTGTGGTATTTTTTCCCCTTTTATGGAGTAGACTCCAACATTTTTCAAGCACCCTTGTCAGTAAAATATGTAAATACATCAAAACATGTATATATTTTAACAGGTTATATAAATGTACTCTTATTAGTCTATACATTAAATTTTATTCAAACTTAATTTGTTTATTTTTTATATAGTAAATAAATAAAAGTGGAAAGTTTAACATACCCTTCCCCACCAGTGACCTGTGAAGTAAACCACCCCTTCTTGCAGACCACTTCTAGAGAGACTGGAATAAATTCTGTTCATACACAATGCGTGTTTCCTTCCAGCTACAGGAGAATGAATCTGCCAATAGTGCAGACATCAATGATGAAAGTGATGTCCATCTACAACATATATAGTTACCAAGTGGTCTAACAGTCACTGTAAGGCTTAACCTTCTTTTGAATCAACTTAAAAAGTAGTTCTACATCTTAGAAAGGAATAAAGAAAAAAGAACTCATTTTGGTAGGTGAAATATTTTTAAATAATGAGTTAATACCAGACTTTAGGTATACATAAAAATATAGCCAGTCTATTCATTTATCAAACATTAATTGTATGCCATGACATACCTTGCCTTTTTCCCCACACACTCATTATATTTACATGTTTTGCAACCCACAGTCTCTCTTCAGATATGGAAATGACTATGCAGTGATGAAATGAATTTCTAAATTATTTTAATACAATACATAAATAGGTTGGCACACTGACAGTTTAGAGTGAGACTGCCATTTATCAATTCTACCTCCTAAAACTAGAGTATAAGTTCCTCAAAGGTAAGGACTGTATTTATTTGATCACTACTATAAACCTAGTAGCAGCACCTAGCACAGTGACTAGCATACAGTAAGCGTTCAACGCTTACAATTTTGCTGGAGGGGTGGATGAAAAGGGATAAAGAAAGGGAGTGGAAGAAGAATTAAATAAACCAAAGTCTCAGAACAAACTGTAAGAACCATTTTATTGTTCCTAATGTATAGTTTGACTATAACTACTAATGATATTTCTTCTGATTATATATATATATATGTCTGTGTATGTATATATAGACATATATACCCATCTAATATATATATATAATATCTATATATACCCATCTATATATATCCATCAAAGGCACATGATCCTGCTTAACATCCTGCACCTGCACTTAGTATGTAATTCAAGACTCTGAGACTCAAGAGGAAAATCCATCCCAAATCAGGACCAAGTCCTCAATTAAAAGTTCATTCACTTCCAAGTTTTATGATAAAATAAAAGGCATTATTCTCATTGTAAAAGTAATAGAAGTACTTTAAGGAAAATTGGTAAAATATAGGAAAGTAGAATTTAACATTATCATATTTCTACCACCCAAACACAATGACTATTAACATTTTATATGTTAAATTCATACCAAATTTTAATATCCCTAATAGTACAACTTTCTATAACGCTATAAGGGGCTCATGGACAACTAAAATGAAAAAAGAATAGTAGAGTAATTCCAACTATGCTTAATGAGGGAAGACAGGATCTTGGAAGAGTTTCCAAACTAAACTCTCATGAGATTATGAGCTCTTTAAGGAAAGATACCTTGTTCTAGTCTTCCTTTTGGCCCAGCCATGGGATCAAGCAGTGAGCCCTGTACATACTATTCCCTCTGTAAATGTTCACTGAATGTACATCTAGAAAGAGAGGTAATCAGGAAACTTTTATTGTTAGGACTTTTCCTTCTGTTATTACTCAGCTGCTCACTCCCCAACTCCTTCCCGATGACCTCATCCTCTGTCATTCACTGCCGAGTACTTTAACTACAGTAATAAAGATCTTGCTGTAGCCTGAAAGTGAATCTGTTTTATTCTTCCCTTTCATCATATCATTTCCTTCTTCACTTAGCTAAGGTCTCATTCCTTGCAATTCAGCTCAGAAGTTATGTTCTCCAAGAAGCCTCCCCTGATGCTATTTTGCCCCTCCAAGGCTGAGCTAAATGCTAATATTCTGGGCTCCCATCATACCCAGTGCAAGCATCTAACACCGCAATTGCCATGGAACGTGGAAATTAGCCAATTATATACACTGCCCACTCATATATACTGCCCACTCATAGACTGTAAGCTCTTTGAGACTTCTGGCTTCATATTCACAAATACTAGCAGATTCAGTAAATACTTATGGAATGAATGAAAGAATGAACATACTCATCCCATTCAATTTTTGTTCTAGTTTTTATCTCTTTAATTTGCCCGTTTGTTCAGTCAGTTGTTCACTCACAATTTTAATTATCTTAAAAAATCAATAAACAAAACCCTGTCCTGGCCAACAGAAATCAGATATAAAAATGGCAAACATCAAATCTGTTTACTCATGTAACCAAAAAGTATCCCTTTCTAATTTCTTACAATTAATAATCAATATACATTCAACAATCACCATTTTCTCATAAGGTCCTCTACATCAGAGTCACCTTTTAATAATCACTCTTTCACAACCACATTTAATACTTATTTCTATTCTTCTTTCTCCCTGAAAAGATAGAAAGTAGGTCCTGCCAATTCTTTCTCAAATGGCGTCTAAGAGCATCAGGTCTGCTCTTAACTGTTTCTAGAGCCCCTGCCTTTAACCTCTTCTAATTTAGTATGCTCTTTTTGCATCAGGGGAATGACTCCATATGCTCCAAAATAAGCTAAATATGAGGAATTGCTATTTCCTACCACATGGGATTCCACTCATACAGAATTCACAATTTTAGCCTATCCATCTCACATTCATCTCTACCAGCATTTGCTGCCTTATTTCCTCTATCTAAAAAAATGTATTTCCTTGTGCTTCTAGGTATGCATTTCCTATTGAAGCCAAGCAAATATTCTTGCTGTATACCATAGTAAATTTACAAATTCCTTCACTGTTGCCTGTGTATATGCTTTAGAGATTTTCCCATTCTCTTCGTGCCTTGATTCTTCTTTAAATCCCAATTCAGAACTCTCTTCCTCTATGTAAGTTTTCTCAATTATCTCCAGGTCATATCATTTGTTCCCTTACTAAACAATCCTTCAACATTTGCATTTTATTTGAACTAATAATATTTAAGTCCTTATTGTATGTTTCTTTTTAAGTGTTCTAAAAGATCATTATGTGTGTGCTCTTCAATCTTTGAGAACAGGTGTACTCTTCTCCCCCTACAGAGCTTAATCTGGCAGCAAGCACTCTCACACAAGTTGATTTCTTAATAGGTGCTGTTAACTTACTATCCTACATCCAAGGAAACATAATAAATGCTGTCTGGATTAAATTGAATTGGATGCTCATACTCAATAAACAATTTATAAGTGATAGTAAAATAAAGAAAAGAGAATAAATTTAAATTATAGTTAGCGGCGCCTGGGTGCCTCAGGCCATTAAACATCTGACTCTTGGTTTCAGCTCAGGTCATGATCTCAGGGTCATGAGATCAAGCCCCAAGTCAGCTCCACACTCAGTGTGGTGTATGCTTGTCCCTCTCTCTCCCCCTCTGCCCCTCCTCTGGCTCATGAGCTCTCTCTCTCCCCCTAAAATCAATCAATCAATCAATCAATCAATCAATCTTTAAAAAAAATTACAGTGTTTAAAATCACTACTCAGCTTTTAACATTTGCAGGGAGATTTCTCATATGTACTCTAATGCTACTTTTGCTTTTTAGGCCCATCCCCTTCCTCTTCACCCCTTTTTCCACCCATGTCTATATGAAGAAAACCCAAAGCAAAATGAAAAGCATATTAGAGATTATCAAGTTTCACATAGGTCCCATTGCTCATATTTATGGTATGAGGCCACCATATCAATATTCTTCACACTGAGAGCTTTACTTAGAGCCTCCCCATGTCAAAGGATAATTAGTGTCTTAGATAATTTCCATCAGAGAGCTTGATAAATTCATCTAGACAATTTAGCAAGAAGAAACAATAAAAGTGCCACAGTAAAGCTTTCTGCCCATTCTATACTGTCACTAGGCTAATAAAAAATTTACTTTTTCTTGAAATATTATATAAAAATTATTCAAAATGTTATTTTGAATAAAAATTTATCTGATTTAGTCATTTTGGTATTATTTCTTTTAAAGAATAAATTAAACTATCAAACCTGTTAAGATACTTAGCTAGTGAATAAAACAAGCTTGATTAATATTTTAAACACTAACTTACAGGATCAGCAGGTCCACAGAATTCTCGAAATGTCTTTGTAGGATTATTTTGTTGAATCTCCATTGCTACGCAAGGGCCAGAATACATTTCTTTCACCATCTCCTATGATATACAAAATAAAAGAATACTTAAAAATTAGTAAAAATTAATAATCTTTTACTCATCCTCTTTTAACTGTACCACTATTCCAAATCTTAAAATCTTTGTTATCTTTGAATCCTCATGTACCCCGTATGCCAAGCAGCTCCCCCATTCTGTCCATTTCTCTTGCAAAAATGTGTTTTAGATATGTTCCCTCATCTCATTTCCTACCACTAGCATCATTTTAATTAATGCTTTACCACCTGATACTTTCATTAATTGAAATGATCTTCTTGTACATCTTCCTTTTAAAAGGTTTCTCCTCTTAAATACAGTCCTATCAAATGAACACTTCTAAAGATATAAATTTCAAAGTTTCAAAGACACTTTTAAAAATCATAATCATTTTCAGAAATGAAAAAAACAGGGACCAGATTCGCTCACATTAAACATCTAGAAATGAGACAATATATACGAAACCACAGTTCTCAAACACTAGATGACAGGCAGCACAGTATTATGATCCCTGATAGAAGAGAATCAAATGAAGTAAGCCATATGACTGCCCCATCTTACTGCCTGGACGAAGTTTCCAGACAGTGGGACAGGGAGAGGGAACACAACAGAGCCCAACACTCTCACTGAGTAGAAGAGACAAAGACGGGAGTTCAGGGAGGCCAAAGTAGCTAGAATTTGCAGGACAGATTACTGGAGAAGGTGAGAGAACTATGGGAGAGTAAGCTACAGGGATCTGCAGAGAAGTTCACCTGAGTCTTTGGCTAGGAGTCTATATACGTATAGAGGAAACTACCCAAAGCTAAGAAAAGAACTACCAGAAGCAGTTAAGTGAAACCATTCACAGAGAGAGCACAAGGCTGAGAAGACTTTGCATTTCCACCAGCCGGAGTAGAAAGCCCTCTTGTGATACATAGGGCATCAGGTAGAGTCCTCAGAAGGGTATTGCACCATTATAGTTGGCCTTATATATGGAATGCTCTGTACCCCTCCTGTAAAGCTTAAAAGCAAGGCTTAAAACGGTCAAACTGATCCTAAGTAACTTCAGTGAGTGCCAAAACTATGTCAAATACTCTTCGAAGGAATATGACATACATACCATATAACATTATAAATTTCACATTATCCAGCATCCAATAAAAATTACCAGGCATGAAAAGAAATAAGAAAATATGAACCATCACTAGAAGAAAACTCAATAAATTGATACAGATGTAGCAATGACAGAAATGTTGGCTACACAGAATGTTAAAACAGCTAGTGTAAATAGGCTCTATATGCAAATTAGAGGAAGAAAACATGGACATGATGCAGAGGAAAATCAATGATATTAAAAAAACCCAAAGAGTACACTCATGGTGAGCACAGCATAACATACAGGGTTATTGAATCACTATGCTGTACACATGAAACTAATGTAACACTGTGCCAACCATACTCAAAAAAAAGACCCAAATGGAACTTCTAGTGATGAAAAACTACATCTTAATTAAATACACTGGATGGGATGAACAAAACAAAATACTGCAGAAGGACAATAAATTTGAAGACATGAAATACCAATTACTCAAAAGCAAGCAGAGAGAAAGAATAAAACTGTCCCACAGTAATTTTTTTTCCCAATGACAAGCTGTCTAATATGTATATAATTGGGAGTCCCAGAAAAAGAAAAGAAGGGGTGATGAACAGATAAAGATTCTAAGAATTAACTGCTAAAATATTTTCAAATTTGATAAAACTCGTAAGCCAACGGATCCAACAGAGTCCAAGGAGAATAAATGCAAAGAAAAGTACAGTGAGCCAATAATTAAACTGGCTAAAAACAAACAAAAAAAACATTAACAAAAAGCCCTTAAAAACAACCCTCCCCCAAAAAGACATATAACAGTAGAACAAAGAAAGATGTAAATGACGACAACAAAAATCTGTCAACCTACAATTCTGTACGCAGGTATTTTTTTTTTTTAATAGAGATTGGGAAAAGGGCAGGGATGGGACGAGAAAGAGGGTGAGGGAGAGAAACTTAAGCAGGCTTCACGCCCAGGGCAGAGCCTGATGCAGGGCTCAATCTCACAACCCTGAGATCATGACCTGAACTGAAATCAAGAGTTGGACACTTAACCAACTGAGCCGCCCAGGCTCCCTGGAAGATATTTTTCACAGATGAAGGAAAAATAACTTTTTCAGACAGACAAAATGTGAGAGAATTCACTACCAGCAGCCCTATACCATAAGAAATGTTAAAGGAAGTTCTTCAGACAGACAGAAAAAAGTACCAGACAGGGATCTATACAAAACAATGATAAACATGTGGGTAAATATAAAACATATTTTTTTAGTTTGTGTGAAAGATTATTTAAAGCAAAAATATTAAAAATGCGTTACAGGGTTTATAATATAAGTAGAAATAAAAACGTATGACAACCACAGTACATACGGAGGGGGAAATGAAGTATACTCTTAAGGTTCTTAACTATATGTGAAGTGGTACAATGAAAAACATGATCAAAGAAAAGTACCTCTCACAGTGTCTGGAATACTCAATGAATGTTCTTTTCTTCTCTACATGGGGAAAAATACTTCAGGAAGAAGTGAAAATAAATATAAAGACTCTGAGGCAGAAGTACAGTTGGTGTGTATGAAGATCAGTAAAGGAGCCAGGATATCAGGAGCTAAAGTGAGACCACAGGAAAGCAGTAAGAGATGAGGTCAGATCACGTAGGGACATGCAAGCCATTTTAATGAATTTGGAGAGTGTATGACATACAATGACAATGTAAAATAAAGGTAATTTATTACAGAACAATACTTAAATATTAATTGGAACTCAGTCATCACACCTAATAGAAATGCCAGAGTGCCAGAAGCCATAAGAGCTTCACGCTTAATATAGTACACAGAACCCTACTCATTAGAATCCCTAAAGGTATCCCCCTGAAGTCACTTTGCTATTTCGCAAAGGTCATATGTAATAGATCTTTTATGGATAATTATGTTGAGTCTGATTTTCTGTCTCATGATATTGAAGTACTGCCTACACACAAATGTCAAGAGCCAAGTTCTCAGTAGGGGCAGAAGGCAGCAGGAACATGCCATACAAAAAGAGAGGAGTGAATTTTGTCTGATTTTATTTCATTTGCCTCTCTCCTTGTCTTTCATTGTTAATCACAAATACCACTAAAAATACAGACATAAAGGGCTATGAAAATGTACAAAATGGAAAGAAGAAAACATCTTGGAAAAAGGACTCCATCAAAAGCATAATATGCTCCTTAAAAAACGGACTCAACAAAATTCTCAAGTCACCTAGGTTTTTAACTAATTAAAAAATTACCAAAACCAAAATACCTGTTTGTTTCCTTCACAGCCCTCTGACTCCTGTCTTTTATGATGGGATCATCTGATTAATGTCCATCCTCACCAGAACATAAGCTCCATGAATGCAGGTAGTGAGCTTTTTTTTGTTCATCTCCCTACTTGATATCTAGCACATTGTTTGGCACATAGTAGCTACTCAGTATATATATGTAGTAAATAAGTGGACTGTGATAACACAAACGAGATAGGAATTATCACCTTTTTATGACTGCAAATGCTGAAGCAGCAAATATAAGTATAGATGAGCAACATCGACTCTACTACAAAGAATTATGTCAGATACAATAATGTCAGCGACGCTACCCTATTTCACACTATACATCCTACATTTAAGAGGATCATTTCAGGGTCGCCTGGGTGGCTCAGTCGTTAAGCGTCTGCCTTCGGCTCAGGTCATGATCTCAGGGTCCTGGGATCGAGCCCTGCATCGGGCTCCCTGCTCGGCAGGAAGCCTGCTTCTCCCTCTCCCACTCCCCCTGCTTGTGCTCCCTCTCTCACTGTGTCTCTCTCTGTCAAATAAATAAATAAAAATCTTAAAAAAAAAAAGGATCATTTCACCAATATATCTTTACATTTAGATAAATAAATAAGTGGACCCACTATTATGACCTTATATATCTTATCATTTATTTTATAAATAAGAATCTGGAGACAAAGAGGATAAAGTGTTGTATGGAAAGTCAGAATAAGAATCAAATCACCTGTTTTTGTCCCTTTAGACTATGTTGCCTCTTAAGATTATTTTTACAGGGTCTTCTCTTTGAATTAGATAAACTTCCTAAAACTAAGAGACATCCAATAGTATACAGCATTTAAAAATTTACCTTTTCCTTGAGCTTAAACTCAAGTCCTGAATATTAACTGTCATGAAAAATAAGAGGCCTTGTGGGAAATACAATGGTCACAATAGCAAGTGAGACTCAGTATTTGCTATCTGATTTTTGGTGTCTCAAGTTAACCAATAAAAGATACTTCAATCATATGCATTTGTAGTATACAGATACAGATCCTCACACAACTTCCTTTAAACAAAACTGAATTGTAAATGGAAAAAGCACTTTTAAAAGCATTAGAATAAGAAGATTCATAAGAATATTAATTACTTCAACAAAATATTACTGGGATAAAAACATTCTTATTTCCCTTTGGAGAAAATTTTCAAAGAAACTTCCCTTAGTTTCAACAGGATTTTATATCATATAAATACAGAACATCTCATAAAGATACCTGGATAATGTTCTCGTTCATTTATATACTCCATTTTCCCATTAACAGAATACTCTAAACCAATTATAATTTGAAATATTTGTTTTACACTGAATAAACCATTTCAAGCTGAATAAAAAATAAGCATTCTTAAAAATGGCTCACAAGGCTAACTCTGAAGTAATGTAGTATTTTCTTCCCAAACAGCCCATATGTTCTTTATCTTAAGTAGACTCTGTTATTAATATCACAAGATTTAAATAGTAGTTACAGATAGTATCTTACTGAGAGTATCAGACAGAGGAAAGCATATCAACACCAATTATTCCAGGATATCCTGACATTACAGTATGATATTGCTACTGTCATTCAAATTCCTGATTTCTTAAGGAAAATGACACATCCATCCAGTGATGTTTTTAATTTACAATAGAATTTCCCAAATCAAAAGAAAAAATCCTGAGTAAATTATGTATTACATAAAAATAAATTACATGTATAGTATTTTAAAGCACAATATAGGAGACATTAAGTCAGAGATGAGGGGTTTTTTCAAGTTATTTTCCAAAGGGAAATATAGCCCATCTCAGATATGCGCACTACACTAGTGTCCTCAACTATTTGTTACCAAATTCAATACTACATGATATTGTAAGAGAATGTAACTGACGATCAAAAGATATGTCTCCATGGGTTGATCTTATGTACAGAAGAGCTATAATATAACATGAATGGAAGAAGGTAGCAGTTTTCAACCATACTTTTTAAAGTAAACTCTAACAAATAAAAGAAAGAAAATATATAAAAGAGATCTAAGAAATGGAAAACAGCTGTCTCTGATTGAATTAAGTGATAACACATTTTAAAATTCTTCCATTTAAGAAAAGGCAAAACTAAATGAAGAAGCTCGTAAGATTAAGGTTGAGTAAGCTGTTACAGAAGGAAAACCACTCTGGCTCCTCTAAACAAGGGTGGAAACCAACAGTACACTGAGCATGAAATAGATTCCACAATCAGTCTTGCCTTTGTAGGACTAAATAAGACAAAGGCTCAGGCCAGTTCTCAGACCAGTGCATTTGTCCTATTTAAGGAAGGTTGAAAGGAAAAGTCATAGAGAAGTGAGAAGGAGAATCTAGTCTCATTGTCAAGAACAGTAAACATTATGCAAAAAAAAAAAAAAAAAAGTCAAACTCTGTAAAACAATGTAGGTGAGGAGGCAGTCCACCAGCACAAATGTATCTGAGATAATTTTATAAAGAGCGGAAGGAAACTAATTTTGATCAAATATCTATGTTTTATTTTAAGGAAAAATATTTGGCTTATTCAAATAGTCATTTGTTTTCAAGAATGTATTTCATTGCCCTCTGACCAACTCCTTTTAAATCTTATTTCTTCAGTCTCAGTTACATTTTCAGATGATTCTACCTGCATTTATATCGTTAAAGTAGATGTTAATGCTATGGTGTTATACTGTATTTGCTTTTAACTTTCTAAAGCATTTTGGAGAGTCTTCCAATCTGAGAATATTATTAACTTCATAAAGCATGTCCAAATGTGTCAATATCCCAGCAATTTTTTTTTCATTGTGGTATATTTTTGTTTCACAAATGAAACAGTAAGATATTTTAAAAAATGATCCAGTGGCTCTCAGAGGAAAGAATGCCTCAGTCACTGGGTATGATCAGCTGGCAACTGGCAGACTCGCGAATAATTTCATGATTACAAACTATACTGAGATCCCCCAGATTTAAGATACACAAACTGTTTTCAGTAACAATGCTTTACATTTACTTTGATACTTACATTATACTCAGACACCACTCCTTTATAAACTTCATAAAACTCTTCAACATTAACTCGATCCATGTTGAACTGGATTGAAACAAAACAAAACATAAGCCAACCACCAAAGAACAAAATGAACCATACTCAGTGCTCAGCATTTATGATCTCTTGGATATATTTTCTTTACTTTAAAATATAAACCTTGCAAAAATTAAGTACTCTGAAAAAGTGTTGTTAAAGATTAGCTCATCAGTAATAAAAATAGATAACATTTATTGAATACTTAATGTATAAAGCACTGTTCTAGGACCTGTACATGCAACATCTCATTTTTTCTTTTAAAAAAAAGTCTTAATATTCTTTTTTTATTATTATTATATTATGTTAATCACCATAAATTACATCATTAGTTTTTGATGTAGTGCTCCATGACTCATTGTTTGTGCATAACACCCAGTGCTCCATGCAGAACATGCCCTCCTTAATACCCAACACCAGGCCAACCCATTCCCCCACCCCTCTCCCCTCTAGAACCCTCAGTTTGTTTCTCAGAGTCCATTGTCTCTTATGTTCGTCTCCCCCTCCGATCCCACCCCTTCATTCTTCCCCTACTTTTCTTTAAATTTTTTTATTGTTATGTTAATCACCATACATTACATCATTAGTTTTTGATGTAGTGTTCCATGATTCATTGTTTGTGCATAACACCCAGT